CACCAATATGAAAACAAAACAAATAACAATAGCAGGGAAACCTGGAACAAAATCACAAACTGGCTTTCTCCCAAACACAATAGATCGTTTTATGATGGGACCATCCGCAAAACTTTCAGCCTGCAGTAAACACGTTGTGATACTCCGGTTAGTTGAAACGCAGGCTACTTCACGGCCTGGAAGTTGTACAAATACTAACTTCGCGAGAGCCGCGCGGAACTCCAGAGTTCTCCCATATTGGGAGTTTGCTTGCCGCCAGTCTATGTCGTCCGAGCAACTCTATATTCCTACGAGGAGCTCAAGTTTAGTCCTGCAGAATAAGATGAAATTTCAAACTGCTCATTAGTGAATATTCTGATTAATTCAATGTATAATGTTCGTCTAAACTTCAGTGGCAAAATTTACTCAAATTATTTCCATTTCAGCAAGTTGCGCTTCTACCACTCGAAGTACAATAGTTTCGTACTGCTTTAGTTGCAGAATTGTGCACAGAAAGTTTAAATATGACAACAATTCCATGTTCGAAAACTCGATTAGCCACTTTTCTCGAAAGGATTTCCTGTAGCAGAAAATAACTGCAGCTGTTAATTAACGGGCTAGATGAAGTGTGAAATAGAGCTGAAGAATTTCGGCCGTGCATTAAATGGAAAATAAAGGAATAATTGTCACCCTAAAATAATGGTGACTATTAAAAGTGCCAGGCCTGCGGACAACCGGTATTATAAATCTTTTTCTCTGCCAAGTCCCAACAATAAGCCAGGATATAATAAAACTTTTTTGCATCTATATCACCGTAAACTGAGCAGATATTTAGGGAGATTGTCGTAAATGTCTGGTGCATTAAAAATCTGGGACACTTTGGACCGTTAACCGACAAACATTTTCTTTCTTATAACGTGTGCGCGATATGGCTGGCCTGTACGGGATAACTTTTTAATGGATATATAAACCATTCTATACCGCAACAGCTTTTGCATTAAATGCTATTCAAACTCTGAGCTTCTACGGATTTTCAACAGTTAAATATAGATGGTAATATACTTAAGGTGTTTTTATTGATTTCCTCACTGTTTCATTCATTCCTTTATGTACGAGGCACTTCCGGGAAAACAAATCAACTTAAAGAGTTTATTTGAGATTTTACATTACCCAGTACAATTCCCTTTGAGACCTGCAGAATTACAGAAAGTAATTATGTATATATTCATCGAAACAAAACTTTCCATCTTCGCATTCGAAGTAGGAATTAAAAAGGAAACATTTTAGTACGCTTTGCCTGCAGTTAGAAGTTCAAAATTAAAAGGTGCAAACTTTCAAGTGCTCCTTGAAGTTTGCGCTGTTTGTCTCTCAAATAAACAAGCCATCTAAACTTTCAACCAAGTAGAATTTGAAACTGGTGAGTTCTTCGGGCTTTCCGGCGCCGTGGAAAATACTTTTTCCTGACGTTTTGCAATCACGACGGGCTTGCATCCTCAGAGGTGTTTCGCTCGAAAGCCTTGAAGATGAAAATAGACTTTAAGAACGGAGTTTGTTCCAAAAATATAAAAGTTTAGCACGCGTCGTTCTTAATTTACAAATGGTTTAAAAGTGATTTTACGTAAATCCTCTCCAAACAAGCACAACCAGAGAAATATGCCAGGATATAAAGATGAATTTAACTATGAACAAGAATAACTGAAAGCACTTGTCTGTGAAATTAAAAAGCCCCAGCGTAATTAATTAGGCGCTTCAAAACACAAGGTGTTTAATGAGATCCCATTAACAGTCGGTAATTGCGGCAAAATAAAAATGTTTTCGTATGACATAAAACATTTTTTACTCAACTATGAAATGGCGTAAAATGGCGAAAGTCGGTGTAAAGTGTCATCCCCGGGGAAAATGGATATTAATTATGAAAGATAACCGCCAAAGCGGAAAAAAATGAACACGTTTCCGAAACTGAAAAAAAGATTGTGGAAATGGAAACCGTATATCATCTTTTGATAATACTAACGATGCGACAACTGCTTTTGTTTCCCAGTTAAAAAATAAGCATGCAGACGTCACACGCAAATCAATACCTACTGGCTATTTTCCTTTTTATTTCGGACCCAAATTGATATTCCATTCATCCGAATCATTAATTTCCAATCTACAGCGGGAAGAAGTTTAAACATTTAGCTCATATCCCAAACTTAAGCTCAATATATAACATATAGGTAGCAGTGGCGGCGCAAGGGGTGGTCAAAATTTGTCTCGCCCAAGCCTTTTAATAACGATATAAATAAGTACGAATTAAAAAAATCAGTTCCAATTCGGCAATAATGATAGTGAACGTGAAAACATTCCGAGTTAATACTTAACTTAAAACGTAAACTTAACATTAATAAATTATTTTCTGATCCAAWWATGGGTACCTACTTGTTTCCTGCTARSAYAAGAGCCAAAGATGTTCAYATAARGGAAAAAGAAGAATTGATTTGGCTCTATCGCTACATRAACTTTYAAGAMGGAAAACYGCAAAAGMMRMGTCGAGCGARTTTTCATCGAAAAAATTTTCATTTTTCAAAAAATCSACCYCCACTCTTGGAAAAATTTCGGCCAAAAATCAAAATTTCACATGCATGTTTTTTGGGCTCAATCGATTCCTTTCGACGTCAGAAAGTCACAAATATGCATTTATGTGTTATGTGGGTCAATAATAACGAAGAAATCGTCGGTGGAAGATCGTGAACTCTGAAAAATCGCTTAAAATGTGCCGAAAATGTCTATTATTTCGGATCTGAAACTTCTAGCATGTTTTTCAATGATTTCGATGCATTCCTCGCGCCCGTGAGCTGAAAATGAGGTAAAATTGGAGACATTTTGAAAAAATTTTAATTTTTTCAAAAAATCGACCCCCACCCTAAGAAAAATTTCAGCCAAAAATCAAAATTTCACATGCGTGTTTTTGGAGCTCAATCGATTACTTTCGACGTAAGAAAGTCACCAATATGCATTTATAAAGTGTTTGGGTTAATAATAAGGAAGAAATCGTCGGTTGAAGATCGCGAAAGCTCAAAAACGCCTAAAATGTGCCGAGAATGTCTATTATTTCGAATCTGAAACTTCTAGCATCTTTTTCAACGAGTTCGATGCCTTCCTCGCGCATGCGAGCTGAAAATGGGGTAAAATTGGAGATATTTTGAGCAAAATTAAATTTTTTCAAAAAATCGACCCCCACCCTAGGAAAAATTTCGACCAAAAATCA